ATAGTTTCATAAGATTTAATAATAGCTAGGAAATGGTGATGCATACCTTTAACCTCAGCACTCGGGAGGCAGAGGCAGGCGGATCTCTGTGAGTACAAAGCCAGCCTGGTCTACAAGAGCTAGTTCCAGGACAGAGAAACCCTGTCTTGAAAAACAAATAAAAACAACAACAACAACGATTTAAATGCAACAATCTATTTACAGCTTTAGCATCCAATAAAGAATGGTGAGCTGGGCAGTGGTGACACACGCCTTTAATCCGAGCACTGGGGAGGCAGAGGCAGGTGAAGGTGGATCTCTGTGAGTTCAAGGCCATCCTGGTCTACAGAGCTAGTTCCAGAACAGTTAGGGCTATTACACAGAGAAACCCTGTCTCAAAAAAAAAAAAAAAAAAAAAAAAAAAAAAAGGGAGCAGATTATTATTGTATAAGGGTTTATTATCTCTGACATAAAACTCATCCTCAGGTTGGGAAGATGGCTCAGGGGACAAGAACAATTACTGTGCAAGCATGAGAGTCTGAGTTTGAATTGCAGCACACACAGAAAGTGGGCATGACTATGAATGCCTGTAACTCACACATGTACAAACCCAAACAACAAAAAACAGGCACCTTGGGCTGACAAGATGGAACACTCGCTTATCAAGCCTAACAACCTGAGTCTGACTCTGGAGACCCACATGGTGGAAGGAGAGAACAGACCCCCACAAGCTGTCCATGATTCCATATGAGAGTCATGACATTTAGTGGATGTGGCTAGAAATCTTTTGATGCACAGATGAACCCACCAAAATAAAATAACTATCCACACATGTCCACAAAAACAAAACTACACACATAAATACACACACACACACACACACACACACACTCACTCACAAATGCCCTTGGAGGTCAGCAGAGGGCGACAGATTCCCTGAGGTAGTATTGCAGGCAATTGTGAGCTATGGGTTCCAAAGAATCAAATTCAGATCCTCTGAAAGAGTAATATGTGCTCTTATCTTTCTCTGTTCACAGACACACACACACATACACTCACATGAAGGTATTTGCATGTTTATTGATGCTTTATTCACTATAACAAAGAATGGAACTAGCCTCATTGTCCACTAATAGATGAACAGGTAACTGAAATTCAGTATATACAAAAATGGAATCTTATTTAGCTATAAAGAAAAATGAAGTTAACAAATTTCAAGAAAATTAATAGACTGGTTATATAAAGTGAGGAACAATCTAGGAAAGAAAAAACCCCACATATTCTCACTCACATGTGAAATGAGTGTATGTGTTGTGTGTGCGCACATATGTAAATGAATATACTCGTGAGTACAATATAAAATGAAGAAAAGAGAACAAGAAAAATTAAATATAAGGGAATGCTGTGGAGTATTTGTTTACATTGTAAAGATGTGTCTTTTCCAAGGTGCCTTCTGATTGGTTTAGTACAGAACTGAATGGCCAATAACTAGGCAGGAGGTATGGGTAGGACTTCAGGGCAGAGAGAGAGGATTCTAGGCATGCAGGAGACACCAGCAGATGCAGAACAAGTTAGAGGTACAGAATGAAAGAAAAGTAAAAAACCATGTGGTAGAGCATAGATTTAAAAATATGAATCAATTGGCCAGGCGGTAGTGGCGCACACCTTTAATCCCAGCACTCAGGAGGCAAAGGCAGGTGAATCCCTGTGAGTTCGAGGCCAGCCTGTTCTACAAGAACTAGTTCCAGAACAGCTAGGACTGTTACACAGGGAAACCCTGTCTTGAAAAGAAATGAACAAAAAGGGGTTATTTTTAGATAAAAAAAAGCTAATTAGGAGCCGGGTGGTGGTACGCAAGCCTTTAATCCCAGCACCTGGGAGGCAGAGGCAGGCAGATCTCTGAGTTCGAAGCCAGCCTGGTCTACAAGAGCTAGTTCTATCCAAAGCTACAGAGAAACCCTGCTTTGAAAAAACAAAATGGGGTGGGGGGGTGGCTAGTTAGGAAGCTACAAGCTAAGCTACAAGCCAAGCTTTCCTAACTAATATAGAAAGGTAGGCTCTTCTCTAGATGACAGGTAGAAGCTATGGAGCAGGCACATTGGGCTCTGCTGTGGACGCAAAGGCAATCCGAAAACAGAGACTGATGATTTCCAGAACAAACCAAGAAAAATGACCACAGCAGGATTAGATTCTGTATAACCCAGTGTTAACAGCTGCCCTATTCAGGACCAAGTGACTGCCAGCACCCAGCTGAAGGAGTGGGTTGGAGAGCAAAGCCTTCTTGCAGGCAAGCTTGACAACTCAATATTCTGGAATTCAGTTACAATCGGGACCTCGATATCACAGGCAGAAGCTTAGTCCCTTGGATGGAGTTTTTTATTTGCTTTTGAGGGGCGGGGGGCGGGGCAGAGGATCTTGCTGTCCTCAAACTCCTGAGTTCAAGTGATTATCCTGTCTAAGCTTCTTGAGTCCAAATGGGCTTCAGTCCCACAGACAGGTGTAGTAAGAGTATAGGTGTTTTATTTTTTGTTGCTCTTGCTCTAAGACCGAACCCAATGTCTCCACTAAACTACACCCCCAGTCCAAATGTCTGTACTTCATGAACAGGCTCCAGAGATTTCCTTCCGTTCTCAATTACAAAACAAAACAAATAAACAAACAAAAAAAACCCGTAAACTAATATCTGATACTTTAGAAAGCTCCAAGAACAAATGCTTAAATCTGGGAGCACTTAGCACCTTTTCCCTACTGTCTACCAGATTATAAACTTCTTCAAGAAACTGTAATCTTCCTTTGACAAACCATGAAAATTAGTCTTGATTCAAATCACTGTAGTATAAAGAAAGTAATTTAAAACAAGTACAGAATATAACTGGCCTAATAAATCAATCGGTGTTTGTAGATTTTCCAGCAACTCTTTCTTTTACTCCAGATAGCCTTAAAAGATATCAAAATGCCATATTTGTAGACAGCTAGCTGTGGGAGTTTCTCAATTTGTTTAAGCTCAACAGTCTAACAAACATTTATCAAAAGTCAGACCGTCATTACCAATGCCTTACACACACACACACACACACACACACACACACACACAAACTGGCTGCTTCAAATGTTTACCCTACTCAATGGGGGAGGGAGACACACACACCTTCAATCCCAGCACTCAAGAGGCAGAAACAGGCAGATCTCTGTGAGCTCGAGGCCAGCCTGGTCTACAGAGCTAGTTCCAGGACAGGCTCCAAAGCTACAGAGAGACCCTGTCTCGAAAAAGAAAAAAAAAAATCAAATGTTTACCCTATTCAAAGCCAACACAATCACAGATAACCCATATGCACACACACATACATAAAAGCCATGTACTGCAAACACAACAGCTCAATCTGTCAGTCCTATGTAACCACGGTTTGAGAAAGCCAACTCAACCAACACAATCAGAAGACTGTCCAGAGCCATCCGCCAGGCTGGGGACAAGAAAGGAATAGCACAGTCACTGCCCACGCTGTTCCTGACAAGCAGCTCAGCACTCAGCAGCATTGCTAGTCACACAAGCCATCTCCAGGGAACCTCTCAGACTGGGGGCTGCTGATGGGGATCACCTCCCTATTTCTGGAAGAGCCTGGACTGCCTTTCACCTTCTGGCTTTCAAGGCCACAACAGGCAGAACACACCAACACAGCCAGCTTAGTTCTTCCACTGCCGAGACTGGGCAGGGCCAGTATGCTTCTCAGGCAAACACCTCCATTCAGCAGGGCCTGTGGGAAATGGGAACTCACTTGCCACCAGAAGGCAGAAAACTCATCCTGGTCTCTACTTCACCCTCCTGTGAGTCGGCTCTGGGAACTATGTTCTACTTGACCTACACAAGAGCGTGGACACAGACTGTAAGGAATGAGGAACTGAGTCAATGGCGACTCGAATACTAGGATCCAACATCTTCCTTCATGGCTCTCCCTAGGCGACAACTAGTCTACCTTTTTTCTCTCATTCAGAGTCCACAAAATTTGAGTCATAAACGACTTCAGAGTGTATTCAAATCAAATCCTTTTTTATAATTTGAAATTCCTTTTTTAAAAGATGATTTATTTTTATTTTTTGTGCATTGGTGTTTTGCCTGAATGCATGTCTGTGTGTGTGGGGAGGGTGAGATCCCCTGGAAATAGAGTTACAGCTATGAGCTACCATGTGGGTGATGGAAATTGAACCCAGGTCTCCAGGAAGAGCTGAGCCACCTCTCCAGCCCGAGATCCTTCCTTTTAAGGAAGAAGAAACTGAGGCCCAAGGTCACACAGCGAGAGGGGCAAATCAAGGGCAAGAACCTGTTCCTGTGAACTTCAGTCAAGAGCTGTTTCCAGTAAACCACGGGTGCTCAGCCGGGTTCTGAGTACCAGTCCCTCCGGTTTTTCCCACCCGTGACCCCCATCCTCACCTACCCAACCCTTCTAGCCTCCAATTCCCTCCGGACCTCTCGCGTCCCGAAAATCCCCCGGCACGCCAAGCTCACTGCACCAAGGGTTTCCGCACGCGCTTCAAACCTCCCACCCACCCAATTGCTCTCGGCTTCCCCCGGCTGGCTCCTCCGCCAGCCCGCTCCCAGGTTGTACCCCCCGCCCTCGTCGGGCCCGCCCGCCGCAGGCCCCGCCCCTCGCCGCCCCGCTTCCCCGCCGTGGTTGCACACACGCCCCGGCCCTCTCACCGGTAAAGCCGCTTGGTGTGGAGGACCTTTGCTTCGGGTTCGCCGCTCTCCACTGGCGGGGGGCCTTGGCTCATGGTGCCTGGGCCCGGGGGCACCTCCTGGTCACAGGCCCCCGCCACCCACCGCTGGTTCCTCCACTGCCGTCTCCAGCCGTAGCCGCAGCCGCCACCGCCGCCGGCCCTGCTCGGCCGCCATCGCTCTGAGGCGGCTGCCTGAGATGGCTCCTCCTCCGCCTGTCAAATCTCGCGATAGCTGCCGCAAAACTGCGTATCAGTGACCGCTCCACCAAATCTCGCGAAAAATTGTTTTCTCTCCGGGAAGTTACTCGAAGTTACTCTGGGGAACATGGCTTCTGCTGGGCTACTCTAGAGTCCTTAAGGGACACTTTATTGTCAAAGACGTCAGAGAAACCGGGCGTACTAGAGCAGACTTATCGTCCTACCACTTAGGGAGCCTAAGCAGCCTGCGGCAAGTTCCCAGTCCGGCTACATAGCGAGACCCTGTTTCAAAAAATAGATAAATTTAAAAAGAGCGCCTTGGCGAGGTGACTCAGCGGATAAAGACACTTGCAGCCAACCTAAGCTCGACCCCTGGAACCCACGTGGTGTAAGGTGAATCCACTCGGGCACACGCGCGCTCCATGGCGTGCTCCACCCCATGATGAAATGAGATTTAAAAAAATAATTAGTTTCGCGGGAAGAAAAAGAGAGCTGAGTGCTCAGCTCTAAATGGGACAACTGGAGGCTGGAGAAATGACTCGTAGGACCCAGCCATGGTAATCTGGGTAGGCCTAAGTCTCAGTAGTTTACAAACCTAAGGCAATACCTGGTTCCGAGAAACACCACAAACTGAGACCACCCAGGCACCACCCAGGAACAGACCATCCAAAGGAAATCCCTAACGTTCCAACCATTGTAGATAGGATCACCTGCCAGCACACACCCATAGCTTTTCACCTGGACACCCCTAGACGAACGTCAGTAAACCTTAGCCTGTGCTACTATAAAAGCCTGTGCTACTATAAAAGCCCAACCCTAAATGAGCTAGGGGCTCTCCCATCACCCCAATACGTTGGACACACAGAGAGTCCGAGTTTGCAAACTTGTGTAAAAATAAAGGCTCTTTGCTTTTACATACAGGATTCGGTCTCCTGTTTGGTTTTGGGGGATTCTGTGATCTGGGCATAACAGGCTCAGTGGTTAAGAGCTGCTCTTCCAGAGAACTCACATCCAATTCCCAGCACCCACATGAGCTCACAACCATTTGTAACTCCAGTTCCAGGGGATCCGACACCCTCACGTAGACAGACATACATGCAGGCAAAACACCAATGCACGTCAAATAAAAACTAATTAGTTAGGACAGCTATCCCCAAGACAAAGAAATCACGGAGGAAGAGGAGCAATGAGAAGATTTTAAGAGCCTGAGGTAGCAGGGCTCTGCATCTAGACAGTATTTTCCAGACATGACAGAATGGTTGCACACAGGAACTTAGCACCCATGACTGCATGGAGTCAAGTCAGCCAAGATCCCAGCATGGGTGTGGGGAGGAGCACTAGAAGTTGATGGTTGCTGGGGGAGAAACAGTGGCTGTTTGTTTAAGTATTCCTACCAGAGACACTAGATTGATTTATTCCGTGTGTACATTTGTGATGGCGTGTGTTCCACCATGACACACCTGTGATTGACAGAGAACTTGGAGGGAAGTCCCTTTTCTCCTTCCACAATGTAGTTCCTAGGGATCGAATTCAGATAATCAGACTTGGCAGTAAGCCATTTTGCCAGCCCTAACCATAAACCTAAGCTGAGGTGCCTGGGGTCCTGTATGTATACATGTTATCATGGCAGTGTGTATACCACTATGCTCCGCCCGCCCGCAAGCCTTCTTTCTGTTTCTGAAACAGCCAAAGTCTTCCCAGCTGCTGGGTTTCGACTTGCAGTTCTTCTACCAGGACCTGAACTCCCACTGGGTTTCAACTTTTGAAGATTTATTATGTATAGTGTTCTGGAATGCATGCCCACATGCTAGAAGAGGGCACCAGCACCAGACCCCATTACAGATGGTTGTGAGCCACCATGTGGTTGCTGGGAATTGAACTCAGGACCTCTGGAAGAGCAGCCAGTGCTCCTAACCTCTGAGCCATCTCGCCAACCCCTAAATGTCACTTTAAAGAAGCTTTCCCTACTGAAATTCTCTTACTGATTCAGTGTGATTTTGTGTTGTGTTTCTCTGTAGCTTTGGAGCCTGTCCTGGAACTCTCTCTGTAGACAAGGATGGCCTCGAACTCACAGAGATCCTCCCGTGTCTGCCTCCCCAGTGTTGGGATTAAAGGTGTGTACAATCTTCACCCAGCTGAATACCACATTTATTAATAGCAGATACTCAATAAACATTTACAGAATGAACAAATTTGCAAATGTCATCTTTTCCCCGACTTCCTCTAAGTACCCTTTGACATACAAACCCACTTTTTCCCTGATGCTTTCCTGAACTGGAAGCTCTTACACATCCAGAACACCTAAAGTCCAGGCCTCAATGTCCACCTTACTTTGAAAAAGGATGCCGTCCTCCAGCAGAGCTCTGTCAGCTGGCAGGTTCTGTAGGGCAGGGCCTGCGCCTTTAATCTGAGCCCCACCTGCTCTGGTCAGACAGGTTTGGAGTCACAGGTAAGGGGAGGGAGACTGGGAAATACCTGCAGAGCCAGGTAGGAGCCAGGCAGTTCCTTTCTGGGGATCCTCCGCCTCTCCCTCTCCGTGGATGGAAAGTAAGAGGGTATCTTGGGTACAAAGGGCAGGGGTAGGAGGGGCCCTAGAGGTGAAAGAGGGAAAAGAGCCCTAACCAGAAACAGTGAACTGGAGGGTGGCAGGGAGGAAAGAAAGACAAGGGAACAGCCACACTAGAGCTGGAAGTCTGAGTGGGGCCCAGCCGGTTGAATTGGGTGAGACTGGCAAGGGTGGAGGAGTTTAGAAAATGACTGGTTTCCGGAATGGGAACTAAGGAACTGAGTAGTATCTCTGGTATCAGTTGCTAACAGAGTTCCAGGCCGAGATCTGCAGGGCAAAGGGCAAGTGAAGGGGCAGTTTCTCCATAGAATGATTCTCAGTTGTAAAGAAATTCCTCCCATTCCAAAGCTAGGGTGGCCATGAATCCGGGGGTTTTGGTGGAGAGCATAGAAGGCAGGTGTGGGCGTAGACTGAGGCGTAGCTTGTGCCCCCTGACTCACCCTTGTCCTGCTGGATGACATTTATTTTGAAAGCGTTCCTCCATTTCAGCCCTGCGCCGCCGCCCTCTGTCTCAACACCTTCCTCCGCACTGTGTTCTCTCTAGAGTCCCATGAGGCCGGCTGCCCTGGTGCGATCCAGTTTGAGGAACTGTCCTGGGGCCAGAAGACAAGGTATTTTCACAGAACTTACCCCACTCCTTTTAGGATGATATCACCTTGGGGTAGACCTCAGCACTAAAGCCTCACAATGACAGAACCCGAGACACTGGCTCTGCTGGAAATGAAGGCACCTGAGGCTCCAGAGAAGAGCTTACCGCAGGCTTTAGTCCCCACTGACCGGCAGCTAGAGGGAGAAGATGGGACTGAGTCCCCTGGAGCTGAGTCTCTCAGACTGGGGTCTTCAGTTGGTTCTCCTACAGCCAGAGAGGGGCCCGAGGATGGTCCAGACAGCACTATCAGTGAGGCTGCGACTTTGCCTTGGGGAACCGACCCCCAGTACAGCGTCCCACTTCCGGATCCCCCAGGCTGGCGAGATATTGAACCAGAGCCCTTAGAGTTGGAACCACTCACTAAGTCGGAGGAACCGCTCACTAAGTCGGAGGAACCACTCAAGGATGATGCCAGCTTGCTCCTTGAGAAGTCAGTTAGGGCCTTCGTGCCCATTGATTTACAGTGCATTGAGCGGAGGCCGCAGGAGGAGAGCATTGTGCATCGGAAGGCCGGACAGGCTGAGCGCAGGAATTTCCTGCCAACCCGACTCAGCCACCATGAGCTTCCAGAGCGCAAGTGGGCTGAGGCAGTTGTCAGACCCCCTGGCCGGTCTTGTGGGGGCTGTGGGAGCTGTGGAGGCCGCGAGGCGCTGAGGGCTGTAGCCTCAGTGGTGGCTGCTCTCATCTTCTTCCCCTGCCTGCTGTATGGAGCTTACGCCTTCCTGCCCTTCGACGCTCCGAGGCTGCCCACCATGAGTTCCCGCTTGATCTACACCCTACGCTGTGGGGTCTTTGCCACCTTCCCTATTGTACTAGGTGAGTCTGGGACGTGGAGAAGGGTTCCCTAGGAAGAGAACTACAGAGAGTTGGTTGGGGTACTTTTTCTTTATTCTGTTGGAACCATTCAGGGCATCCCAAACCTGCCACTCTGCTCCCTCTCTTCCAGAGAGCGTTTGTGATCTCTCTGCAGTCTTGACCCAAGGGCTGTACTGCTGTTTCTGACTCCCGGCTTCCTCCCCTGCAGGGCTTCTTGTGTACGGCCTGAGCCTGCTGTGCTTCTCCGCCCTCCGGCCCTTCGGAGAGCCGAGGCGGGAGGTAGAGATCCACCGGCAGTACGTGGCCCAGTCCGTGCAACTCTTCATCCTCTACTTCTTTAATCTGGCCGTCCTTTCCACCTATCTGCCCCAGGACACCCTCAAGCTGCTGCCTCTGCTCACTGGTTTGTTTGCAGTATCTCGGTGAGTAGGGGCTATGGTGGCCATGCTTAGGGGAGGCGTGAGGGAAGTGAAAGTGCCAGAACCTCCAGGGGCTGAATGAAGATCTGGAGAACGGAAGCCTGAGGGTTTCTGCGGCACACCTGTCGCGCAGGCTTCACTGGGAAGCAGATGCTTGCTCCCCTGTCTTTCAGAAGCTGCTCTCAGAGGTGTGCCAATAGGGAGCTTCTGAATGCCGTTTACTTTGGTACAGAGACTTGAATCCATCGCCTCATCTAAGCACAGAACTGACCGACCATTCTAATCCTAACCTCAGGTTGAATTTAGTGTGTCCTCTGAAGGTACTCCTCTAGTCTGTGACACTCTAGTTACATAGCTTTAAAACTTGGGTATGTGGGACATTTTCTGCTTTATTTTGATTGAGACAGTCACCATCTCACCATGCAGCCTGGACACAAACTCTTGGCAATCCTCCTGTCTCACCCTCTCAAGTGCTGGGATCACCACCACACCCCCTTCCAGGTTTAAGCGTTCTAATTGCTAGAAAGTTCTCTTGTTTTACTTTGTTTCCTTTTTCTTTTCTTTTCTTTTTTCTTTCCTTTCCTTCCTTCTTTTCTTTCTTTCTTTTTTTCTGAGACAGGGTATTTCTGTGTAACAGCCCTTGCTGTCCCTGGATCGCTGTCCTGGAACTAGCTCTTGTAGACCAGGCTGGCCTCTAACTCACAGAGATCCACCTGCCTCTACCTCCCGAGTGCTGGGATTAAAGATGTGCGCCACCATTGCCCCATGAAAGTTCTTTCTTATACAGTGCTGAAAACTGCCCTAAAGCTGATGTGGTTGCTCACTCAGGTCTGTAATCACAGTACTTAGGGGGCTGAGACAAGAGAGCTGCTAAGAATCCAAGTCAACCTGAATTTCACAGTGAGTTCTGGGTCAATCAGTGCAACACAACTATGACCTTGTCTCAAAAGACAAAATGAATCTCTGGGTTTGAGGCCAGCCTGGTGTACAGAGTGATTTCCAGAACAGCCAGGGCTACACAGAGAAACCCTGCCTTGAAAAAATAAAACAAAATGATATAAAATAAAGAAACAAATAAATAGACTGCCCTGACACTGCCCTTCATGCTTCAGCCATGGACAACACAGATGAGCAGCGCTTTCTACCCAGAGGCCAGGTCGCCCTCACGGCAGGACCACTTTCCTTTCATTCAATTTGAGTCATCAGTGAATTTTATTTTATTGAGACAAGATCTCAAAATGTAGCCCACACTGGCCTGAAAATATGTAAATCAATCTGGCCTCAAACTCGGCAATCTTCCTGCCCTAGCCTACTGAATACTGAAAGTGAGCTTTTGGTTTGTTTTGTTTGAGACAGGGTGTTTACATAGCTGGGGCTGCCTTTGAATTCACTGTGTAGACCAGGATAGCCTCAAACTCAGATTCATCTGCCTTTGACTCCTGAGTGCTGGGATTAAAAGTCTGTGCCACCACACCCAGCAGAATCTTGTTTTCTTTATCTGCAAAGAGTAAGTATAGAACACACTGGAGTTGTCTAAAATGAGAACAAAGAAGCCTGGTGTGCCATGGTGTGTGGTCCCAGCCACAACTCAGGGAGCAGAGCAGGCGAATCAGTACGTGACTGAGGCCACACAGGGCTACTTAGTGAGACTCTAGCTCAAAAACAAACCAAAATGAACAAGCAAATAAGTGAGAGTAGGGGAGAAGCTGGAGGAGGCGGAGCTCAGCTACTGCCTTCTGCCTAGCATGCTGAAGGCCTTGGCTCAAACCCGGTGCCTCTGGTGGAGTGTGCCTGTAATCCCTTCATTTGGGAGGGTGAAGGAGGCCTGAGGGGCTGGGGACAAAGATCAGTGGTAGACCACTTGCCTAGCTTTGTGAAGCCCTGGACCGCAAACAAGTTTTGTTATTGTCTACAAAACAGAAATGACTCAAAAAACTATAGAACTAGATATCTAGGGTGGAAATCAGAAAAGGGGAAGATAATTTTGTTTGTTTTTTGTTTTTTCAAGATAGGGTTTCTCTGTATAGCCCTGGCCATCTTGGAACTAGCTTTGTAAACCAAGCTGGCCTTGAACTCAAGACTTGCCTGGCTTTGCCTCTCAAGTGCTGAGACTAAAGGTGTGTGGCACCACCCCCCAACAGCGGAAGACAAGCTGAATTCTCATTTAATTCTGAATCATATAAATGGACATTGAATTGTAATTTAATTAAAAATTAAATTAATTTGACTCACTTTAATTTTAAATAGTAAATAAAAGAGAAGACAGGAAATAATATTCTCACTTCAGAAATGTGGGAAAGTAAACATTGTGAACATATATATAAACCGGGTGTTTGTAGTAGTTACCAGTCTTGGCACCTGCTCCCAACTGGTCTCCCACTGTCTGCTTCTGCCCGATTAGCCGGCTGGGTCCTGGAGAGTCGATAACCTTTGTCATGCTCCCACAGGCTGATTTACTGGCTGACCTTTGCTGTCGGCCGCTCCTTCCGAGGCTTTGGCTACGGGCTGACTTTCCTGCCGCTGTTGGCCATGCTGATGTGGAACCTCTACTACATGTTCATGGTGGAGCCGGAGCGCATGCTCACCGCCTCCGAGAGCCGCTTGGACTATCCGGACCACGTTCGATCCCTCTCCGACTACAGGCCACGCTCATGGGGCTGAGCTGCCATGGGGCTGTGCAGGGGACTTTTCAGCACTTCTCTGAAACAGTTGCAGGCCTGGCCTTTGCCCAGGTCATAGACCTTAGATGGGGGGTACCTTGCTACTTAGGGGCCCCATCCAAAGGAGCCCAGAAACCCCAGTTCTTTTCTAGTTGTGCTGTACCCCTGGAGTGCAAAAGCCTAATGCAGAGACTGGAGAAGAATACTTCCTTTTGGTGCAGCCTCCCACCGTGCCAAACTAAGGCTAAGGTCCCGGCTTCCTATGAACCAGAGGTGTAGAACCAACTACAGGCCAACCTGAACTGTCTGCCTAAGCCCAAGGGTAGAGGTTGCTATCTCATCAGATAAGGACTTTGACATCTTTGACATAAGGTGAAAGCCTTTCTAAGGGTCTTCAAGACTCTCGCCTCAATCAAGCTGTGACCTTCCTCTCCCAGCCTACATGGGTTCCTATAATCTTCCTTCCACTTTTCAAACTTCCAAGAAGTACTAAGGTTTAAAAAAAAGGTGTGTGTGTGTGGGTTAGGGGGGCCTTGGGGGTGGCAGAGAGATGAAACCTCAAAAGGACTCTGTATGGATTCCCAGGTAGTGGCTGGGATGGCAACGACTGCTTGCCCAGCATGTATGTGCGAGTATGTAATAAATCCTGGCCTGCCTCCCATGGCTCTCTCTTCCTGCTAACCTCCCCACTCCCAGGACATAAGTCACCTCCTAGCATCAAGATCAAGGGCTGGAGGGTGGTTCACAAGAGGCTTGGGGAGAGACTACTAGGATTGGTGGGAAAATGTGCCCTCAAATAGAAATTGCCTTCCAAGTCTATCTCTCAATCTTCCCATTTGCTGAAACCAGCCTGGCATGGTGGCACAGGCTTTTAATGCCAGTACTTGGGAGGCAGAGGCTGGGGGATCTCTGAGTTTAAGGCCAGCCTGGTCTACAGAATGAGTTCCAGGACAGCCAGGGCTACACAGAGAAACCCTGTCTCAAAAAGAGAGAAAGAGATTGAAATCTGGACTAGAGAGATGGACGGCTCAGTGGTTAAGAGCACTTGCTCCGGCAAAGGACCCTGGTTCAATCCCCATTACCTACATAGTGGTTTGCAACCATCTTAACTCCAGTTCCAGGGGATCTAGTGCCCTCTTTTGACCTCCACAGGCATCTCTCTCTCTCTCTCTCTCATGCATGCACACACGCATTGTGCATTCACACAAGCAGGCAAAACATTCACACATATAATAAAATACATAAATCTCATTTAAAAATAAGAGAGAAGTTAAAATCTTTTTTGGGAAAAATATGTCTATTTCATGCACCTTAGTGTAGCCAACCAGTCACTCAATGTAGGCCTTCAAGTTTTACCCAAGGGAAAGGAGAGTGGTAAATGACAGAGAAGAAACATCAAGGGGGCCCTTCCTTTTCCCAGTAATTCTAGCCTCTCCCCAGGGTAGGAAGGACATGACCCAGGGAGACCCGGTAGGCTGAGACTGGCTTTTGAGGTTCTGCAGAAAAGCAGATGACAACACTGCCCCTCTCCCCTCCGATGGTGTGAGGCACAGCAAGGCATGTGGTCCTGCCCCTCCATCTGCAGTTCAGTTGATGGACTGGTACTCAGAATACGGCTTGTGTCGCAGCAGCAGAAACAGGCCTCCCCCCAGCAACAGGAGCCCTGGAGTTCCCAGGGCCACTGCCATGATTCCAAGGACGAGTGGGGATAAGACGTCCACTGGAGGGACACCCACTCCCAGAAGCATTGACCTAGAGCAAGAAGGTCCAAAAAAAAGGAGGTAAGCAAGTTTAGGAAGGAAGGCCGAGGGGCTCAGCCCTTCTCCACGTTGACCTCCCCAAATCCTTGGTTCTTACCAGGAGAGGTAGTGTTGGTCCCAGTAGCCAGGGCCTGTGGGAGCCCCAAATGTCAGAGTGAAGGCACAGAAGTTTTTCTGGGACCCAAAGAAGGCTTGGACAACAGGTGAGCGAGGGAGCAAATGTGCCAAGGTGTAGTTAAGGGAGGACGCCTGGCAGGGGAGGGCTGATTCTCGGCTCCGTTGCTTCTGAGAGAAAGCCACTGGTCGCCATTGCATGAAACCAGACGGTGAAGAGTCCCACAGCAACTGGTCCAACTGGAGAGAAAGGCCACAGAGGCAGAGTGAGATGGACCAACCCGTGCCAACTTTCTGTTCCCACCTCTCCCAGATTACTGCAATGAGGCCAGCAAGCGTCCCCGGTACTAAATGTCGTTCTAGGATGGACATGCCAGTTGTAGCAGGGCCCAGTCTTCTCATAGAGTAGAGAGATGAACGGAGCCACAGCCTTGCTCCCTGGGGGCCCCAGGTCACAGAGAATCCCATCTGAAGACCATGAAGCACTGCTTTTGCCTGCTTCCTTGGAGGGCAGACATGGCAGGTGATACATCAGTACAGCCCAACACTAAAAGCATCCAGAGTATTCTTTTTTTTTAAAAAAAATATTTATTTATTTATTTATTATGTATACAGTATTCTGTCTGTGTGTATGCCTGCATGCCAGAAGAGGGCACCAGACCTCATTACAGATGGTTGTGAGCCACCATGTGGTTGCTGGGAATTGAACTCAGGACCTTTGGAAGAGCAGGCAATGCTCTTAACCCCTGAGCCATCTCTCCAGCCCCCCATCCAGAGTATTCTTAATAAATGGGGACCATGTGTGGTGGTGCATGCATTTAATCCCAGCTCTCAGGAGGTAGAAGCAGATGAACCTCTGTGAGTTCAAGGTCAGCCTGGTCTACATAGCAAGAGTTCTAGGTCAATCAGAACTATATAGGGAGACCCTATTAAAAATAAAACAAAACAAAACAACAACCAACCAAACAAACAAACAAAATCCTTTAAAAAATAAGGGGTAGTGCGGCTGGAGAGATGGCTCAGAGGTTAAGAGCACTGACTGTTCTTCCAGAGGTTCTGAGTTCAATTCCCAGCAACACGGCTCACAACCATCTGTAATGAGATCTGGTGCCCTCTTCTGGCCTGCAGGGACACATGCAAGTAGAATGCTGTATACATAATTAATAAATATTTTTTTGATAAGGGGCGGTAGCAGCTGGAGTAATGGCTCAGTGACCGAGGGCTTGCTACTCTTGCAGAAAACCCAAATCCAGTTTCCAGCACCCGCGTCAGGAGGCTCTAGGGTATCTGCTGCCACAGGAACCTGTACACACCTGCAAACACACATGCAAAATAACACATTTTTTAAAAAGTAATAAATGATTGGTTAGTTTTCTGGGATGTTAACAGGATCCCACTTTATATTCCCAGCCGTCTACTCCCCGTGGAGACCTGACCTGAAAGACAGCAGGTGCATACTCATCGTCGATGGAGCGCAGCTCTTTCATGGGGGGGCAGCTAAGGCCAGTATCCAAGGTGGCCACCTCTAGGCCAAACAGGGAGTGGTTTCCACGAGGAGACGCTCCAACAAGGGCAACTTCTAGCTGGCAGGTGTCTGCGCTGTGCAGGAGGCGAGGGGGCTGGGCAGGTCGGCCAGATCCCGAAAAGGCCTTAACCTACGAAGAAGGAAGAGGCCATGTGGAGAGAATGGGGCTTGAAGGATACTCCCATCTCACAGATCAGCCTTCTGAGTTCCTTCCCCACAACCTCACCTTGAAGGCCAGGCTGCCGTTGGCAAATGCTCCAGAAGGGTCATCTACGGGGTGGCCTTGGAAAGCGGCGCTCAGAGTGGCCTGATCCAAGGAGCTGTTCCAGGAGAACTCAGCCAAGGAGTAAGGAGGGTATGGCTTTCCTGAGGGCTGGGCTGCCCATTCTGAGACCTTGGTGCTGTCAAATTCAAGCAGCTGGGGAAAGGGTGGAGTGGAATTGGGCTTGCTTCCCTCTGACATTCTCCTGCATATGGCTCCCACTCCACCCACCCTGTCCTTAGCCCTCCCCTCTCCCTCTGGGTAGTACGAACTCAGTCCCTGCGCTCTTCCCTCTGAGCTTTCAGCCCCCTCACCCTGGTGAAGACAAGAGCAGAAGAAAACTGGATGCTGTCTTTGGGGAGCACCATCAGACCCCCATCAGGATCGGGAGACAGCAGGAGACTCCAGTTGACACTCAGGACACTCTGAGTGGTGTTGGTGGCCACCAGCACCACAGCTGGAGGCCCGAGGGTGCTCCATACATAGTGCAGGGTGGAGTTGGTGCCCACTGCCCAGATATGAAGCAGGTTCTGGGGATTTGGCCCACCGGAAATAACCTCCATAGATACCTAGAACATGGGATTGTGGGATGGAGAGAACAAGATCAGGGATGGTCACAGGCAAAGAAGCAATGCCAGGGACAGCAAGCGCCTTTGAGGCCTAGGCAAGAGGGATGTGTGGAAACTGAGGGGATCCTGGAATCAGGGGCAGATATAGGGTTGAGAAGAAATAGGGTAGATCCAGGATTACCCTGACCTTGGTGAGATCAAGACTTAGGCCTGAGAAGGCTTTTTAAATCCCCAAACTTCCCTGTTGCTGGGCTCTGATGGCTTGATATCACCAGAAGGCAGGAAGCCGTCATGCATGCTCTTCTCCACAGTCCTTCCCATCACTCCTGGCTCCACGCTGGCTCCCTGAGGTCACTCCTCTCTTGCATCCACCCTCCACCCCTCCGTTGCCCCAGATTCCAGTCATCGTAGAAAGGTTGTATTTCTGGAACATCTATTACTTTAGTTCCAGAACTCTTACCTTGCGAGTCTCTTCTCCCAGCAGGCCAAATGGAGCTGCACACACAAGACTCAAAAGGAGCCATGGGGTTGGGGCACAGGGTACCCAGCCCCAGTAAAGTTCCCAACAGCGGCACATACAGCCGCACGGAGTTTAACTCAGCGGAAGAGGCTCAGAGTCACATGACTCCCTTTCTCCTGATCCCTTTAGAGGGCGGGCCACCTAACCAGTTCTTAAAGAGACCGCGTCCATTAACAAGGATGTCAACGGAAGTTGAAATACCTTCAGGAAGGCTGAAGGTAGGTACATTATTTTTAACAGGTTGGCCTGCAAACACTCCTACTTCTCCTCACACCCCTGCCAGTCCCATCCAATATACCTGTGGTGAGCATGTGTGCCCAGATGCAAATCCATGTGGAACCTGTGGCAGAAAGGCATAGAGAGGAACCCTTCCGAGCATCCCAGCACTCCTGAGGCAGAGGTGGGTGGATCTCTGTGAGTTCAAGGCCAGCCTGGTCAACAGAGTTACAGGACAGCCAAGAACACACAGAGAAACCCTGTCTCAAAAGAAAACAAGAACCCTGGGGTCACCGACATGATCCAGTGGTTAAAGGTGCCCCAAGTGTGACATGAGTTGGATATCTAGGACCAACATGGTGGAAAGAGAAAAATAATTCCCAGAAGCCATACCCTGACTTACACATGCATTCTGTGGCACTTGTGTTTACATGAAATGTATAGTAGTAATAATGATAATTAAAGAACCCTCAGGTATGGTGGTCTCAGAAGAGAGAAACAAGCTGGGAGGGATGGCTTGCTTCTGTAACACCCGCTTCTCAAGACTGAGATAGGAGGAACACCATGAATTTGAGGACAGCCTGGATTAAAGTGAGCTTTAGTTAAAATCAAAGAACTGCCGGCGCATGCCTCTAACCCCAGCACTCGGGAGGCAGAGGCAAGCGGACCTCTGTGAGTTCAGGGCCAGCTTTGGC